TACATGCTTGCCTAAAGTTAAGCACCAGTTTTAAGTGCTTTGCTGGAGCAGGGACTAAATGCTACAGTGTACAATCATAATAAATTGATGACGACTATACCAGGGTTGGACGCTGTTCAACCCCACAGTAAACAGTGGACATGTTCTAATCTGTTAATAGTGTTGCCCCTTTTGACCTGAGCGGTTAGCCAAAAATTTGGGGTCAAGTATGTTGTCGCAGTTAGGAGGAGAAGGTGGTGATAGTCAGGTATTTCTTTCATGCAGTTTTGTATATTTACGAAGAATGTATGAAGTTTTGTGTCTCTGAATGCAGAAGCAATCAAATGGCAGGAAACAGCTTTCTTTGCTAACAGCACTAAGAGCACTCTTTTCACTGTGCACCCCAACCCAAAAACCTTGCCCCAGATTTCTTCCAAGGTCAACCAATGTGCTTTCATCAGCTCTTTCAGGCTGCCTCTCCCTCAGTCTTTCCCTGGTTTATGTCTGTTCTGCCTCCCACCACCCAACCCCAAAATAATACTCAACAAAAGCTCCTGGGTGGGTTCACATACTTATTTTCTCTTCACTGGGAGCCTATCCTTACAGTTATGTTAATTGAAGGGTGAATTCACACCTGTCAATCTCAAATGAGGTTTTAACTCAACCCAAAGAAGGTTTCACCCATATACCAACTAATCATCCCCTGTAACGAATAGATATAGGTCCGCAGCAGTGGTCTCTCTCTCCAAACAAGAATGGATCATTGGCTGAAGCATCACTAGTAATCAGTCTTAATATGGAATGTTTTGGTGGTATACAGTTTGTAGAATTTACAGGGAGATCAGGAAAATCTCCCCTATAAGTTTATCAACGCAAGACAAGGTAGAATGGCTAAATAAGCAAAACTGATCATTCCCCCTTTCACAGTTGGCAGAACTTTTTGTCTTTGGCCTTGCTGTTACGGTAATAAAGTTGTGGCCTGGTCATCTATTTTAAACAAGCTATGAGTCAGTGTGCTCTCCCAAGCATGCCCTCCACAATACAACAGGAATTACTGCTACAGCAGACACAAAACTTCCTCCGTGGCCTATCTATGAAAAAAATGCAGGTTAACAACAGAAGCGCTGTTCTCTGGAAGGTTTGCCATTTCTACAAAGCTCTTAGTTTCCACTGCCCAAGGGCCTAGGAAATACAATCCATGTTCAAAACTTGTTTTTCAATATTTATATTCATATGTCTTTTGCTCAAGGCCTTGTTCTTGCATGTTTACTCCACTACACACACACACAGGTAGTTAAAATAATAAGCATTTTTACTTACCAATTTCTGAGACTGTAAGAATTCTTCAAAAGTACCAGGCGGCCCTTGCATCTTCTATCAAAGTACAAATATGAATTTCTCTTATAAAAATACCTTATAAAATTGAGATGGAGTTTAAGGTATTGCTCTTAGTAAACAAAGCAAACACCATGATGTATACAGTATAAGCTCATTAGTTAGCACTAATAAATGAGAGACCCATTGAGTGTTATCTAATTTTGAGAATTAATAAACATGAGAACAAATGTGAAGACAAGAAAGGAAACAGCATCACAAAAATGTAGTTTTTCATGTATTTTGACTAGTGTGAAATATTTATAAACAACACTTTTTAGTATATTAATAGATATACTGCAATATACTTTGTAAAAGTAGTAAAGTCTTATTAGTATGATAATCTGAATTGTTCTTAATTCAATTTTTTGCTTAGAAGTGGGGAGAAGTATCAGGTTTGCAGATTAGCAAGTAGTCCCATTGAAATCACCCCATTGACATTTCCTGAGTTTAGGGCAATTAAAAACTCAGCCATCATTTTAAAAAAGTCTGTGCAGAAAACTAGCCTGAGAAATCTTTTAGAAAAGTTATGTCACAGAAAATAGGGGCCTAGTATGGGTCATCACTGAGAATGCCAGATTGAGGACAAACTGCAAGAAATAGGGCAAACACCCCCCAAAACTGGTGGTTTATTCTATAACTATATTTCACAAAGCTAGTATCACCATACTGGTTAGCAAGAAGCCGAAACAAGAAGCCCTTAGGCCAGGGGCAGGCAAACTTTTTAGCCTGACGGCCACATCGGGTTTCGGAAATTGTATGGAGGGCTGGCTATGGGAGGCTGTGCTTCCCGAAACAGCCAGGCGTGGCCTGGCCTTGCTCCTATCCAACCCCCCCCCCCGCTCCCTGCCCCCTTACCGCGCTGCCTGGAGCACCGGTGGCTGGCGGCGCTACAGGCGCACTACCCGGCTGGAGCCAGCCACACCACCGTGCAGCACAGAGCACCGGGTCAGGCCGGGCTCTGCAGCTGGCTGCCCCAGAAGCTCACAGCCCCGCCACCGAGAGCATTGCGCCGGCGGCGCAGTGAGCTGAGGCTGTGGGGGAACAGCAGGGGAGGGGCTGGGGGCTAGCCTCCCGGGCCAGGAGCTCAGGGCCCGGGCAGGAGGGTCCCGCAGGCCGCCGTAGTTTGCCCACCTCTGCCTTAGGCATTCCAGTCCCTGGCTTCTTTCTGGACTTTTATGATGTATGATTATTAAAATCAAAATACCACACATAGGGTTCTTCCAATCCCAAAGGACCAGCCACTATCCCCAGGTCAATATACACACTTCAGGATCTCACCAAAATACCATGCTACAATTTAGTAAACTAACTAAAGTTTTATTAATAAAAAATGAAAAGAACAGAGTTATTAATGGTTAAAGTGAATCATATATTTTACAATTGATTTCAGAGACTGTAGATCAGGATATATTGAGTCCAATTGTTCATCATAGGTATAAAGTCTGCTAAGTCTATTTAAGTCTCTTAGGCCTGGTCTACACTAGGCTTTTATGTCGACTTTAGCGCCGTTATATCGAATTAACCCTGCACCCGTCCACACCAGGAAGCCATTTAGTTCGACATAAAGCTCTCTTTAAATCGATTTCTGTAATCCTCCCCAACGAGAGGATTAGCGCTAAATTCGACATGGCCATATCGAATTAGGCTAGGTGTGGATGGAAATCGACGGTAATAGCTCCGGGAGCTATCCCACAGTGCACCACTCTGTTGACGCTCTGGACTGCAGTCAGAGCTCGGATGCTCTGACCAGCCACACCCCCGGGAAAATTTGAATTCATTTTCATTTTCCTGTCTGGGCAGTTTGAATCTCAGTTCCTCTTTGGACATCGAGGGGAGCTCAGCAGCAGTGGCAACTATGCAGAGCTCTCCAGCAGAGATGGCCGTGCAATCTAATAGAAAGAGGGCCCCAGCATGGACTGATCGGGAAGTCTTGGATCTCATCGCAGTGTGGGGCGATGAGTCCGTGCTTTCAGAGCTGCGCTCCAAAAGAAGGAATGCTAAGATCTACGAGAAGATCTCCAAAGCCATGGCAGAGAGAGGCTACAGCCGGGATGCAACGCAGTGCCGCGTGAAAATCAAGGAGCTGAGACAAGGCTACCAAAAAACCAAAGAGGCTAACGGACGCTCCGGATCCCAGCCCCACACATCCCGTTTCTACGAGGCACTGCATTCCATCCTGGGAGCGGCCGCCACCACTACCCCACCCCTGACCGTGGACTCCGAGGATGGGATCATGTCCGCGGCCGGTTCCTCGTCGGACATGACAGCGGACGGGGAAGATGAAGAAGGAGATGAGGAGGACGAGGCAGTCGACAGCGCTGGCACCGCTGATTTCCCCGACAGCCAGGAGCTCTTCATCACCCTTACCGAGATCCCGTACCAACCGTCCCCATCCCTTACCCCGGACACAGAATCAGGGGAAGGATCAAGCAGTAAGTGCTGTAAACATGTAAACATTTATTTAAAACAGAACGGTAATATTTATACTATTAACAATGTACATTTATAAAAGTTCTGTAAACTAGTAAAAAAATAATCAGGTACAAAACAGGAATATTTACAAAGGTAACAAATGGGTTTTCATGATTTCTCTGTCTTAGGCTCTTCTCAATTTAGTCCCAAGTGTTTTAAAAAATTTTCACAATGTCCGTTACTCCATGATTCCCAGGCCCAAGACGCTCCACTCCATAGTCCCAGTGCACCTACGCGAAAATCCGGTCAATGTGGCCGGGGATCGACGAGAAATCCTCGTAGGAGAACTCCTCGTAGGTCTCGTGGAGGTAGAGCTCAAGCCTGTTGATCAGGTTCCGGGGTAGGGCGATCTTAGTGGGCCCTCCGTGGTAGCAGACATGCCCCCTCCACGCCACAATCAAGTACTCCGGGATCATGGCCCGACATAGCATGGCGGCATACGGCCCCGGTTTCTGCATGCTTTCCCGCAGCATGCGTTCTCTCTGGGTGTCCGGGATCCTCAGAAGGGTGATGTCGCTCATGACGCCCTGCTTTGAATTAGGGAGGGGAATGTTAGTATTGGGACTGCTTTACAGCCACGCGGTGGAGGGAGAGGGGCAGCATACAGGGATCTTTCCCTGGGACAGCCGCGAGGGGGTGGGACAGGGGCAGAGTTGATGCTGTCCTGATTGCTGGCAGCAGAGACTGGCATTGCTTTCAATGTGAAAGGAGGCCAGTGCTACTGCTGGAGTTTTAAGCAGCCACAAGTCTGCGGCTTACCATTATTGCCCGCTCCAGAAGTTCAGGTCTCCAGCCACGCTTCTCAGATCACTCCAAGACCTCCGCAAGTCCACAGGCACTGAAGGCGACGGCCGAAAATTCGACCTTGTCCTGAGTGCGCATGTGAGAGGTGCAGTGCATGGTCTTGTTCACAGAGAAAGACTAGGTTCTTTGTATACAATTTCATTTATCTGTCTCAGGAATTCACTCCCTTTTCACAATTCACACAGACACATCTGCGACTGTCTCCCAACCCAGCCTGTCAGCACACTCCCAGAGGCTAGCGCAGATTAGGCGGAGGAAGAAGAAGACGCGTGAAGACATGTTCTCAGAACTAATGGGATGCTCCCGAGCCCAGGCAGCCCAGCAGACACAGTGGAGGGAGAACTTGTCACAAATGCACCGAGCAGTCATGGAACGGGAGGAGAGGTGGCGTCAGGAGGACCAACAGGCTACTGAAAAGCTGC